TATTAAAATGACCGAAAAATTTTTATTGGTGCAATTTTTTACTTTTTGAATAAAAAAACTGATTCTTCGCACTTTTCAACATAAAAAAGCTCTCCTGTAAGTTTTCGCTATAGTTAGCCGTTTTCAATTATTTATAATAAAACAACATTTTAGAAAGTAGGCTGTGGCTGCAAATATTTTCGAAATTGAAAGCAGAATAAGGTTAAACGTCAATTAGTTGCCAGTTAGTTTTGTTGTCCGTTGAAACCTGAAACGTTTTTTTGCAAATTGTGAATGCACGAAATTTAGTTTCTGTTACCTGTTTTTTTTTTTGTAAGTTTTATAAAAATGCCATTTTTATTCTCCAATCAAGAGTTAGCGGATATTCATTTTGCGTGGCTTTGTAAATGGAAACGCAGCAGAAGCAGCCAGAGAATACGCACGAAGATTTCCAAACAGACGACATCCAACTCGCTCAGTATTTGTAAAGGTGCCCACAAATTAGCAACCATGTGCGTCATACATGTATGTCAACCACGTTTGCGCGTTGATGGTTGCCGGTGTGTGGTGCAAAAGCCGCAAGCATGTGCGTCGTACAAGTTTTCCAGACTAGTCGGAATTCATCAACGCGCAAACATGAATTTGCAGACAAGATTGTCGGTGTGTGTCTTCTTCACGCATGCATTTTGGGTACAGTGTCTCGCGTGTTTATTAACAGTTTGTCGTCGCTTTTGACAATGTCTGACGTAAGACACTTTTCAAAAGCCTTTTTAGCAGATTTTATTGAACTTTACAAAGGTTATCCTTGTTTATGGAAAGCTAAAAGTGATGATTACAGGGATCGAAATAAGAAAGATGCAGCTTATTTAGTTTTATTGAAAAAATTACAAGAAATTGAGCCAAATAGTACAAAACAGTGTGTGAAAGCTAAAATAAATAGCATCCTCGGTAGCTTTAGAAGAGAAATCAAGAAAATAGAAGATTCCAAATGGTCAGGCAGAGGGTCAGATGAAATATAAAACACACATTTATGGTATTATGATTTATTGCTATTTACCAAAGATCAAGAAATGCCTCGAGAATCGGTCAGCAATTTGGTTGAGAATCAGGAAGGTGAAAGCGAACAAGATGCTAATAATGAAGATGAGGTAAGAAAAGTACAATTTAGTTATTGCAATACAAATTTATTTGTTAAAAATACTATTTACTACATTACATGGAATTAATGCACCATCTTTTGTTGCCATTCCACTGCGCCCTCATTATTAAAATAATGCATGTACAACTCTCTGACTTGTTTTGCCTCGTTGTTGACTCTTTGGTTGAGACTTTGTTGTAAACGAATTAAATTAGTTGGTTGTTCATCCAGTTTAATAGTGCCGGTACTTGTATTTTCTGTGTACATATTATTATGTGGTGCATATACAGTCGCACATCTTCTGCTTAAGTAGTTATGCAAAACACAGGTTGCCATAACAATTGCTTCTAAATTAACAAAAATTGCTGTGTGAAATATTCTAAATCGATTAGACAATATTCTAAACGCATTCTCAACTTTACTTCAAGCCCGCGATAGACGATAATTGTAATTTTTTTTCTTTATTCAAATCTCTGCGACTGAATGGCTTCAAAAGATTTTTTCGAAGGGTGAACGCTTCATCGCCAACAAAAACGAAAGCCAACAGTTGGGTTATTAGTTTTGTATTAGAAAAAACGAGTATTACTTCATTGTTGATTCAGTTTTTATCACATCAGTTTAGTTTGAATTCATTAGTTCAGGTTCTAGGTTTTGTCATGATTTTTGTTTTAGGTTTTCGTGTTTTCTTATTATTAAAGTTTTGCTGACTATATTTTTTTATGTTGAAGTAAACATTGTATATTATACTCATAATAATAAATCCAATATGCTAAAAACATGCATACATTTTTCTTACCTTCATATACTCATTTTTCAATACCTGAAATATTGCTCGACAGGTCTCCGGTATTATTTTACCTAACGACTGAGGAGAAATTAAAGTTGAAAATTTTAAATCTTCGTATTTTCTTCCTGTGGCTAAATAGCGAAGAGTGGCTGTTAATCGCTCATGTGGCGAAATTGAAGACCTCAAAATCGTGTCCTGTTTTACAATTAATGGAGACACTAAGGTTAGTAGCGTTGAGTAGCTTTCTGCATCCATGCTCAGGTAATTTCGCCAATCGTCAGGTTCTAAACGTAGTTCTTCTAGCAGACTAATATGGGTATATTGTGGGCGTTTTGAAAGCCATTCCTTTACCCATTTCTTCCGGATAGGTGGCTTTTTAACTAATCTATTTGTTTTCTTTTTAATTAAAGCAGCGTACGCCGCTGCCAATAGAATGTACTCGTCTTAACTGCTCATTATGCACTTTCAAACTAACTTGCTTAACAATCTTGTATGCAGGTCTGGGCTCAAAATCTATTGACATACATATATGTCACACATGTATGAAAAAAGTGTGTGACGCACATGGTTGCTAATTTGTGGGCACCTTAGAGTTCATCGCCAAATAATTGAAAATGGTTTTGGAAATTCAAATGGATCAAAACATAAATGTTCGTCAGCGCAGATTTACCCATATGATACTGCGTGAGTTTGATAGAGATCCGACCACAAGTATTATGAGAGTTTTTGGTGCCTTGGGAAATTCAGCAAGCCGTGTTGACCGTGTTCTTAGAAATGCCGAAATGACGTCCTTACCATTTGGAACCTGTGCAAGGACTACAGCCAGGGGACGGAGAACGAAGAATCACATTTTGTCAGTGGATTCTTGATAGAACTGATAATAATAGGGGGTTTTTAAGTAACGTTTTATGGACCGATGAGTCATGCTTCACTAGACGTGGAGTGGTAAATTTTCATAATCAACATATTTGGTCGCATGAAAATCCGCATGCAGTTCGGGAAAGAAATTTTCAGCATGAATTTAGTGTGAACGTGTGGATTGGTATCTACCGTAATCGACTATTTGGACCCTACCTTTTGCCTGCAAGGTTAAATGCTGCGACCTTCTTGGAATTTCTAAAGGCTGAACATGCAAATATGTGGGATGATGTTATGTTAGATTTAAGAAGATTGGCCTGGTTCCAGCTTGATGGTTGTCCAGCTCATTATTCGAGAATAGTTAGAAACTGGCTGGACGAAAATTATCCAGAAAGATGGATCGGCCGTGGAGGACCAGTCGCCTGGCTTCCACGATCCCCTGACCTAAATCCATTAGATTTCTTTGTGTGAGGATTTCTAAAAGAAAAAGTGTACCAGACTCCCGTAACCACAAGAGATATGCTAATAGACAGAATCAGGAATGCATGTGATGAAATAAGGCCTTATTTGAATAATGCTATACCACGTTCGATCATTCGTAGATGTGAATTGTGTATTGAACAATTGGGTTTACATTTCGAGCAACTACTTTAGATTTTGTATGTTTGTCCTAACTATCCAATAGCATTTTAGTTGTAAATAATTAATTTAAGTTGTTAAAAATAATATTGGAAGATTAAACAAATTAATATTCTGTTTTTTGTGTTTATTTGGAGTTAGGAATTATTGCTGTGTTTAAAAACACAATCTAAACGATCATCTTAATTACTTGTAATGCCCAAATCGAAAATGTAAAAAAAATATTATATTCTCAGAAATAATTAAAAATGCATCGAACCTTAAAAATCGAAATATCTCCAAAACGGCTAACTATAACGAAAACTTACAGGAGAGCTTTTTTATGTTGAATAGTGCGAGGAATCAGTTTTTTTATTCAAAAAGCAAAAAGTTGCACTAAGAAATTTTTTTCGGTTATGTTAATACACTACAGGTACAGTAGAGAGCGCCCTCTAGCGGCTACAGTAAAACTATGCCCATGGTTCGTTTTGTCGCACCAAAAAACCCCTGTATACCCATGTTTATATAGACTTTATGCATTGATTTTAAAAGTTCTATCGAATCTTAAAGTTATGCAACAATAAACTGAAGCACCCTGTATAACCGTGTGTCCCAATCTCTCTCATGGAGATATAACGTGTTGAAGTTATAATTCCAGAATCGAGAAAAAATTTTGTGGACCGGATAAACCGCCATAAAACTGTGCATATACTACTAACAGCATAAGTAACAAAAACAACAGAAATTCTGGACTAACCACATCAACTGCAACTGGGATATTCTGACCACTACAGAACCGATTACTAGTGCTTCTCTAGCAAGGTTTCACACAGGTGAGCAGGTATTTCATTAATTTGAGATAGAAGCAATGTTGAAACTAAAACCATTCCCTCAAGGACCCTCCTCGTTCACACCGACGGACGATGAGGAGGACCTATTGATTACGACGGATACCTTACAACTGGAGAAGAAGTCCACCCTGTTAAGAAGATTCTCTAATTCTCTAAAATCCATAATACAGCGTGCACCAGAAAGACGTGAAAATTTCAAAACCGCTTTGCTCGTGATAGACTCGCACGAGCGGGACACGGGTAGTGGTGATAAGTAGCTTGGTGCGTATTTTGGTAAAAGAACTTAAATTGCGCCTATATAAACTTCAACTAGGACAGGAACTGAAACCGCAGGTCCACCATCTACGCCGTGCGTTTGCCGAAATAATATTAGAGCGCTTCCCAAAATTAAAGAATATTCTCTTTTCTGATGAAGCTCATTTTCATTTGAGTGGATTTGTCAACAAGTAAAATTACCGGTATTGGGCCGCAGAAAATCTCAAATTAAAACAGCAACGACATTTGCATTCGCGTTATGTTACAGTTTGAGCCATGCTACGTAACTTTTTCTTTTCACAACCGCATAATTTTGAAGCCTATCATAGCAGCACCTGGTTTCAACAAGATAACGCGACATCCCATACCGTCAACGAGTGTTTAACAGTTGTAAGCGAAATGTTTCGTGGAAAAATGATATCGCAACGAGGGGACTTTCTGCGGCCTCCCCGGAGTCCAGATCTGACGCCAGTGGATTTTTTCTATAGGGATACCTCAAGAGCCGCGTTAACATCTTACTGATATTATTTACCAAAAAAATTAAATATCCATGTGTCTACTTTATTAAAAATATAAACTATCTCCCCTACGCTGTGTAGTTTTCTCTGACATTTTTTAAAATCGACTCAAGTCTGAACCTGCATATGAACAGAATATTTTACACGAAATTGTTTTCTTTCAGATGATCAATTAAGTCTTGAATCTTGACCAGGTACTCTTCGGTAATAAACTGATCACCACCAAACTTTTCCATGACCTTGTCTTCAGGCATTGTTAGGTCCGGGGCTTCTTCGTCTGGCAACATTTTTATTTTCCAAATTATCGTCGCTGAGAAAAAACCGAATTTGCAGTATTTTTTCCATTCTTCTTTCAAAACGGACATAGGATATATAACGTCTGAGCTGAGGCCAAATTGTTCAAGACTCCTTGATAGGGAATCGTGGTAAACGTCTAAAAAGTAATTCAGTTGACTCAGCAGCGCCTTAGAGGCCCCAGAGTAGAAGCAGTAAGACAAATCGAAAACTGGAGTGCCGGTTCTGCATATTTGAAAATCTATGAGACGTATGTCTTTTACTCTGTTCGTTTCCTAGAAAGCAAAATAAAAATGTATACAGGGTGTTTCAGTTTATTGTTGCATAACTTTAAGATTCGATAGAACTTTTAAAATTAATGCATAAAGTCTATACAGGGTTATCCAAATTAAGTGTCCACCATTAGTAACTTTGTTATTAGTGAAAATACAAAGTTGTTTGAATTAGCAAACTAGTAGCATTTTTAACGCTGGTAAAAATGAGAAATAAAAAAAACAATTGAGAGTCGTTATTTTGATTTTTTTCAGTAAAATAACATTTTTTTAAATAGAAACCCCTGTATATTATATTTTTTTCTGTTAAAGCATCAAATTTTAAACAAAAAAGTTCATAATGACTTTTCCGCTAAAGTCAAAAATAAAGTCAAAATAACGATAAATATTTTTAATTATTTGCAGTATTATAATATTAAGACGGCTATGAAAACAACATGGCGTTCGCGATTTGACAGCATTAAGATAAGCGAAAAATTGTTAAACTGGACATACTCGCAACTAGAAGGCTTTGGAAAACAATGATAAAATCAAATAATGTCAAACATTAGTGTAAATACTTGTTTATAAGCTTTATTGTGTCATTAATTTAAAGAAAAATGTTCTCCCATGAAGAAAAGTGTGATATGTTAGAATGCTATTTAGTGTGCAGAAAATCCTCCTTGAGAGCAAGAGAATACTACAGTGAATTATATCCCGCTCGCATTCAACCGTATGAACGATATTTTCTGAGACTTTATCGAAAATTTAGGGGCAACGAAAATGTTTTTGCTAAAACAAGGGCAAAAAAAGAATTCATAATAAGCGAGGCCACGGAAATTGCAGTTATTGGATATTTTGAAGCTTATCGTGAGAATTCAATAGCAGATATTCTCAAGGACTCTAATTTCAGTTATGGTACTGTTCAAAGGATTTTAAAAAAATACAAATTTATTCCGTATAAGTACCGACCAGTTCAAACGCTTTTGGCAGGGGATCCAGAGAGAAGACTTGTTTTTTGCCATTGGTATCTTAGCTTCTGTCGCCAAAATGTAAATAACTTTCGTTACCTTTTATGGACAGATGAATCAAATTTTTTAAATTCTGGAATGTTTAATAGAAAAAACCACCATTATTGGTCAAGAGAAATTCTTTTGTTAGTACATCCAAGAGGCCCACAAGTCCGTTTCAGTTTCAACGTTTGGTGCGGTATAATTGGTTCAAAAATTGTTGGCCCGTTCTTTTATGAGGGAACCCTAACTGGTGAAAGATATGTGGAATTTATGTCAGAAATTCTGACTAATTTCTTAGACGAATTGGATCTTATAAGTAGACATCATCTGCATTTTCAGCAAGATGGCGCACCTGCCCACAACTCCAGAGGTACTTATCATTTTCTAAGTACTACTTTTAATGATCAGTGGATAGGAACAAATGGCCCAATACAGTGGCCTCCCAGATCAACAGATCTAAACCCACTTGATTACTTCTTGTGGGGTTACTTAAAGAACCAAATTTACAAGCGAAGGTACGATAACCTTGACGCGTTAAAGACTGCAGTTAGGGAAAAGATAACCCAGATAGATGGTAGGACCATACTTAAGACAGTTCGAGCAGTTGAAAAACGTGCCCAAAAATGTATTGAATAACAAGGTGGTGTTTTCGAGCATCTTCTTTAAAAAAAATTGTTATTGTATTTTGTAAGATTATAAGTTGATGTTGAAAATAAAGTTTGTCGATACAATTTAATTGTTTCAGATTGGAGGCCATAACTTCAACAATTTGTAACCTAGGAGAAAAGTTATTGTAAGCTTTTTTGTTTAAAATTTGATGCTTTAACAGAAAAAAATATAATATACATGGGTTTCCATTTAAAAAAATGTTATTTTACTGAAAAAAATCAAAATAACGACTCTCAATTGTTTTTTTTTATTTCTCATTTTTACCAGCGTTAAAAATGCTACTAGTTTGCTGATTCAAACAACTTTGTATTTTCACTAATAACAAAGTTACTAATGGTGGACACTTAATTTGGATAACCCTGTATAAACATGGGTCGAAAAATGCGTGGCTTCCGAAATACACGGTGTTTAAATTTACTTTCTAAAATAGTTTTTTTAAATATTTTGAACAATATTTGATGTATATCTGTGAAAATTGGTACACAAGGGTTTTTTGGTATGACAAAACGAACCATCGGCATATTTTTACTGTAGCCGCTAGAGGGCGCTCTCTACTGTACCTGTAGTGTATTAAAATGACCGAAAAAATTTTCTTAGTGCAATTCTTTGCTTTTTGAATAAAAATACTGATTCCTCGCACTTTTCAAGATAAAAAAGCTCTCCTGTGAGTTTTTGTTATAGTTAGCCGTTTTTGAGATATTTCGTTTTTTAAGGTTCGAGGCATTTTTAATTATTTATGATAAAATAACGTTAAAAAGTCAGTATCTCGATAATTTTTAAAAGTAGGCTGAGCCTGCAAATATTTTTGAAATTGAAAGCAGAATCAGGTTAAACGTCAATTAGTTGACAGTTAGTTTTGTTGTCTGTTGAAACCTGAAACGTTTTTTTGCAATTGTGAATGCACAAAATTTAATTTCTTTTACCTGTTCTTTATGTAAGTTTTATAAAAATGCCATTTTTATTCTCCAATCAAGAGTTAGCGGATATTCATTTTGTGTGGCTTTGTAAATGGAAACGCAGCAGAAGCAGCCAGAGAATACGCACGAAGATTTCCAAACAGACGACATCCAACTCGCTCAGTATTTGTAAGAGTGCATCGCCAAATAATTGAAAATGGTTTTGGAAATCTCCAAAGGGATCAAAACATAAATGTTCGTCAGGGAGTTTTTAAGTAACGTTTTATGGACCGATGAGTCATGCTTCACTAGATGTTGAGTGGTAAATTTTCATAATCAACATATTTGGTCGCATGAAAATCCGCATGCAGTTCGGGAAAAAAATTTTCAGCATGAATTTAGTGTGAACGTGTGGATTGGTATCTACCGTAATCGACTATTTGGACCCTACCTTTTGCCTGCAAGGTTAAATGCTGCGACCTTCTTGGAATTTCTAAAGGCTGAACATGCAAATATGTGGGATGATGTTATGTTAGATTTAAGAAGATTGGCCTGGTTCCAGCTTGATGGTTGTCCAGCTCATTATTCGAGAATAGTTAGAAACTGGCTGGACGAAAATTATCCAGAAAGATGGATCGGCCGTGGAGGACCAGTCGCCTGGCCTCCACGATCCCCTGACCTAAATCCATTAGATTTCTTTGTGTGAGGCTTTCTAAAAGAAAAAGTGTACCAGACTTCCGTAACCACAAGAGATATGCTAATAGACAGAATCAGGAATGCGTGCGATGAAATTAGACCTTATTTGAATAATGCTATACCACGTTCGATCATTCGTAGATGTGAATTGTGTATTGAACAATTGGGTTTACATTTCGAGCAACTACTTTAGATTTTGTATGTTTGTCCTAACTATCCAATAGCATTTTAGTTGTAAATAATTAATTTAATTTGTTAAAAATAATATTGGAAAATTAAACAAATTAATATTCTGTTTTTTGTGTTTATTTGGAGTTAGGAATTATTGCTGTGTTTAAAAACACAATCTAAACGATCATCTTAATTACTTGTAATGTCCAAAACGAAAATGTAAAAAAAATATTATATTCTCAGAAATAATTAAAAATGCATCGAACCTTAAAAATCGAAATATCTCAAAAGCGGCTAACTATAACGAAAACTTACTGGAGAGCTTTTTTATGTTGAATAGTGCGAGGAATCAGTTTTATTATTCAAAAAGCAAAAAATTGCACTAAGAAAAATTTTTCGGTCATTTTAATACACTACAGGTACAGTAGAGAGCGCCCTCTAGCGGCTACAGTAAAACTATGCCCACGGTTCGTTTTATCGTACCAAAAAACCCTTGTATACCAATTTTCACTGTTATACATCAAATATTGTTCGAAATATTTAAAAAAAAAACTATGTTAGAAAGTAAATTTAAACACCCTGTATTTCGGAAGCCACGCATTTTTCGACCCTTGTTTATATAGACCTTATGCATTAATTTTAAAAGTCCTATCGAATTTTAATGTTATGCAACAATAAACTGAAACACCCTGTACCCTAACTTAAGTGTACTAAGCATGGTTTGCGATAGTTATAACTAGAAATACCAGATATCTTTTAACGAAATGTCTACCCAAACGGTTTTTTTGGGTGAGCTGGCCCCTATTGTGAATAGTATTGGGGGTACTGATAACGGGTGTTTTTTTTCGAGGTATAGAACTTCAAGTTGGCATTACTTTTGAAGATGGCGACCGATTTGACAGCTGTCAAGTGATTTATTCTCAGTTTGGTTTGGCAATTCATCATGAATAGACTCACGCCTGAACAACGCTTACAAATTGTGCAGTTTTATTTCGAAAATAATGGTTCTGTGGGGAATACGTATCGCGCACTACGTCCATTTTATCGTCGACAAAATCGTCCATCAGAGCAGTTAATTCGATTAACCATGGAACGTTTTCGCACCACGTTTACTCTAATTGATAACTCGCATCCCCAGAGACGCCGTACGGTGCGTAAAGAAGAACTCGTGCAAGAATTGAAGCCAAACGATCATCAAGCAAGCCGTAGATTCGTTGAATGGGCCCAAAACGAGATTGCAGTTTGTTCCCGATTTTCATAAGCGAATTTTTTTTTAGCGATGAAGCGCACTTCTGGTTGCATGGCTACGTCAACAAACAAAACTGCCGCATTTGGAGTGAAGCTAATCCTCAAGTCTATATCGAAACACCGTTACATCCAGAAAAACTGACTGGTGCGCTTTATGGGCTGGTGGAATCATTGGTCCGTACTTCTTCAAAAACCATGATGGCCAGAACAGTCAATGGTGATCGGTATAGAGCCATGATTACTAACTTTTTCATTCCTGAATTGAACAATCATGATGTCCAGGAGCTGTGGTTCCAACAAGACGGCGCAACATATCACACAGCTCGTGCTACAATCGATTTATTGAAAGACACGTTTGGTGACCGCTTAATTTCACGTTTTGGACCTGTGAATTGGCCTCCAAGATCTTGTGATTTAACACCGCTAGACTATTTTCCGTGGGGCTATGTAAAGTCTTTTTTCTATGCGGATAAGCCACAAACGCTTGACCATTTGGAAGACAACATTCGCCATGTTATTGCCGATATACGGCCACAAATGTTGGAAAAAGTCATCGAAAATTGGACGTCCAGATTGGACTACATCCGAGCCAGCCGTGGCAATCATATGCCAGAACTCATATCTAAAATTTAATGAAATAAGATTACCTTTCGAATAAAAAAAAATCATGTCAATCGAATAATCCATCGTTGTTTTATTGCAATATAAAGTTCTATACCTCTGATAAACACCCTTTTCATAAATGATAATTGGACAGATTTCATTACATAAACTCCTTTGTCCTTTTTTTGTCGAAAAGCCTTAACTACTGAATAAACAAATTTTGATAGTATTACTTTACTATCGCATGGGCTGCCTGACAGCCTTTTCCAAAGTATACTAAGTGACATATAAATCCGAACACCCAGTTTAAATGGTTAATAATGTGTGGATGCACCCTGATGTGCTACGCATTCTCCAACGCGCCCAGGCATGCTTCTGATCAGGTGGTCAATGTCCTCCTGTGGTATCTCATTCCAGGCAACCACCAACTCCTCTCGAAGTGCTTCTAGATTCTGAGGAGGACGTTGCAAATTGAGCAATCTCCTACCCATCATATCCCACACGTGCTCAATTGGGGATAAGTCGGGAGATCTTGGTGGCCATGGTAACAATGTGACATCATTATGTTGAAAGAAGTCTATTGTGACTCTTGCAACATGTGGTCGGGCATTAGCTTGTTGGAAAGTTGGATCTGCCAGGGTGTCAAGATAGGGCAAAAGATGGGGTTCTAGAACTTCGTGGATATAACGCTGCGCGTTCATGTCACCTCTGATGAAGATTAAAGGTGACTTGGAAACATGAGCTAGCACCCTAAACCATAACTTCAACAGTGTGATGAACATGTCTTTCAACAAAAAACTGTGGATTCCTCCTTTCACCACGTCGCCTTCTAACACTGGCACGACCATCCTGCATGCCTAAACAAAATCGAGACTTGTCACTAAAGACAATACTGTTCCATTTCTGATCCCAGAGTGACCGTTGTCTGCACCACTCAAGGCGATTACGTCGGTGTTCTCGAGTTAAAGGGAGGACCCAGTGTGGCCGGTATGAAAACAAGCCAAAGCTTCTCATTCGTCGGTAAACACTTCGAATGCCAATAGGTCTTCCGTGTTCTGCAAACCATTCATTTGCAATGGACCTGGTAGTGGAGAAACGGTCCCTTAAGGCCAATAATCTTAGGCGGCGATCTTCACGTTCTGTTGTTCTACGGCGGCGTCCAGTGCCCCTTGCTCTTTGCGTACGGCCTTCTCGAAGCCATGCCTGACAACACCAAACCACAGTGTCTACACTTCTTTGCACTCCAACTGCAATTGCCCGAAAAGAAAGTCCAGCTTCCCGAAATCCCACTATACGGCCCCTCTCAAACTCACTAAGTTGTTGACGAAATCGTACAGGTCTCCGTACTCTAGGCATCGTAACCGATCGTAAAGGATGTCAAGAACCAAAATCCGCCAACGTTGATTCTTTACTGCGGCTGAAATATTCATTTTTAGAGCGTTAGTGAATTCAAAAAAATCAGTATAAAAACCGGAATGTCCAACTGATAAGGCTGAAAATTTGTTCACTTGTTATTTACAGTAAGATAAATACATTCACCAACTTTTATTAAAATAAAACCATTTAAACTGGGTGTTCGGATTTATATGTCACTTAGTATAATATAACCGCAAATTTAGGTACATTAATCAAATATACAACCAAATCTGGGAACTTACATCATAGCTGAACATAATATTATTACTCCAGCAATCCCCATGTACCAACAACTCGTAATGCCCGTTATAGAAATAGCTTTCTCTCAAGTTTTCAAGTAAGTCTCCTATCAAATTGTTCAGTTCAGGTGAATTGCCAATCCACTTGGACGTCTCCTCTGCGAAACCGGCGCTGGTCATGAACGCAGATAGTTCAATGCCATTCTTGAAGACATCCTTGGCTGCAGCGTATTCTTCCGGGTTGAAATGACGGAAGGCAAACGACAATGCATGCAATCGTCCATAAGTTTCAAATATTAGTTCATAGTGGGCTTTATCAAGTGGTATTCGCTTTTCATGAGTCTTGAATCCTGATAACAAATCAGAGCAGAAACATTACCTATCTCACTTAAAACATTGGAATTGCTCTATTGTTTGAAATTGCATAAAATAGGCCCAGGAGAAGATTACCGCTGACAACAAAATGTTTGCTTAAAAAGAGGGTACGTAATCACTGACCTGATAGTTTCAAGTTGTTGAGGACGAACATACTATGTGTATCGTCTGCTCCATAAAACGTTGAGAGTTTATCAAACTTTTCGGCTGAATACTTTTGCTCCATTTGTCTATAAGCTGGTAACAGCGAATTGTAGAAATATATTTCATGCTTAAAGCAATGATCTATCATTTTTTGGAACTTATTGCTTTCACAAGCAAGATTTCTTTTCACGGCAAAGTCGTGTTTCATTTCAGAGGATTTGTCTTTCAAAGATACAAAAAAGAATTCACCCAAATGTCCAGAGCCTTTTCTGTTTGGATCATGAATATTCACTGAGAACTCATCCAGTTTCTTCTCGACAATCTTCTCCAAAAGCTGTTGCACATCCTCTGGAAGTTGTTCCATTATATGCACAGTCAAAATATGTAGATCAATCACTATCAAACACTAGCATCTACGTGCAGTTTACCATAGTTTACTATTAAATTTTCGTATCGGATACGGGAAGAAAAAAATGAATAGGTTCAGATAAGGATGCATCATGTGCAATGGAATCAACATAAATTTGTTCAGATTAATTTAGTACAAATGCATTTTAGTTGTTAAAGTATTATAATAGATTCAAGGCTGTGCATGGAAACTGGTTTTCCGTTTATGAAACGGGGAAATTAGAAAAAATAAAAATGAAAATTGAAAAACGTATTCCATTTTAAATGGGTCAAGATATTTTCTGTCAACAGAAAAAACATTTTTTATGAACTGCCTTTACTATAATCATTATTACTATGTGTATAATCTAACTATCTTGCGTATACATATCAACCCATTTTTGAAACGGCCGTTTGACTATTTTGTGGTGAAAAATAAGGCTTCTTTATAACTGACTGTAATTTTCAGCATAGGCTATTACCACTTCATTTATTTTTGAAGGTATTTGAAATAACACCACACGCACACCAAATGCACCTGGTGATCCAATACAGGGTGTTTCAGGGATCAAACTTCTTGAGGTTATTCAGTATAACAGTAGAAAACGTATAGGAACCCATATCACTGATCAACAGCCAAAAAATATCCTAAATAAAATCAACAAAATATTACTATTTTTAATGTGCTAAAACCGGAATAAAACGTATTTTTTCAATATTAGTTCAAGTTTTAGAGATACGGTAATTATATGTGTCCCTGCTGTGACAGTGTTAATATACTGTAATTCACAAGAATGCACGTGCTACATTTTTATATTCGGCAAGGAAAGATGATGTAATCGGCATGATTGTGTTACGTTATACATACGTGTACATTATATTGTTTTATATTAGACATTTTTTCCTCAGTTGGCTGACAGCGTTCATGCAAAATTTCTCGAAAGTGTGTAAACAATCCAGATCAGTTTTGTTACGTGTGTGGTGATGTGACTTTTGCGTCTCAGAAACGGTCTATTGCTCCACTAATAACAAAGGCATATCAGCTTTATTTCGGTTGTAAACTAGGTGATCAAGACAAACAGTGGGCACCCCACATCTGCTGTAATACATGTGCTTCGTCTGAGGAGCTGGTTAAATGGCAAAAAACGGTCTATGCGCTTTGCTGTCCCAATGGTTTGGAGATAGCCTACAAATCATATAAATGATTGTTACTTTTGCATGGTACCTTGTGTTGGACAAGCCACAGGTATGTCCAAGAAAAAAAAATCGGTTATTAACTACCCAAACATACCATCTGCGATGAGACCTGTGCCTCACAGTGACGAAAATCCTATTCCAAATCCCCCAGAATCCTACACTTGCGAATCTGAAAACGAATCAGATCATGGCGATCGAGTGATTCGTCAGGAAGAAGATATGCTATCAACGTCAAGAGGTCCTGATTTTATACCGAGCACGTCATGCCACCAACCGCGCAAAATAACACAGTCAGAATTAAATGATCTTGTAAGAGATTTAGAACTTCCAAAATGTAAGGCAGAGTTACTTGGATCAAGACTGCAGCAGTGGAACTTGTTAGAAGACGATGTTTCGGTATGTGTATTTCGTAAACGCCACAAAGACTTAGAACCATTTTTCAATATGGAGAATAACTTGGTTTTCTGCAGTAACATTAACGGCTTACTGGCGGCTTTAAATATAAACTATAACCCAGAAGAATGGAGATTGTTTATAGACAGTTCAACATTGAGTTTAAAGGCAGTGTTATTGCATATTGAAAAAAATTACCATCTCTTCCTGTAGGGTATGCAGTTCACATGAAAGAATCATATGACAATATGAAGTACCTATTGACATGCATAAAATACGATGAGCACCAATGGCATATTTGTGGCGATTTGAAAGTTGTTGCACTTTTACTTGGGCTGCAGCTAGGCTACACAAAGTTTTGCTGTTTTTTGTGTGAATGGGACAGTCGAGCAAAGGCACTTCATTACACCAGACAAAACTGGCCTGTTCGTCAATTCCTAGAGCCAGGTCAAAAAAATGTACAGCATATGCCATTAGTAGATTCGAAAAAAATTTGTGAGGCAAAGGTTAAAGAAGGTATTTTTGTTGGGCCACAGATTCGAAATATTTTGAAAGATACACAGTTTGAAAACACTTTAACAGGTATTGAAAAAACTGCTTGGAATGATTTCCGTATGGTGGTCACTAATTTCTTGGGAAATAGAAAAGCTGACAACTACAAAACCCTTGTCAAAAATATGCTGTCATCGTATTAAAAGATGGGCTGTAATGTGTCTCTTAAGATACATTTCCTACACTCACACCTGGACTTTTTTCCTGACAATTGCGGAGCCGTAAGTGATGAGCACGGCGAACGTTTTCATCAGGATATTTCAACAATGGAAAAAAGGTACCAGGGAAAGTGGAATCCTTCCATGCTTGCAGACTACTGTTGGACTCTTGGTAGAGATGCTCCAGAAACGATCCATAAAAGAACAGCAAAAAGACAGCGCATATAGTGATTCTTATAAGTATATGAATCTTGTTACTTTTTTTAATATATCCTTAAAAATAAAAAGTTTTTTTTCTAAACCGCAACTAATTTTTTTATTTCATTGTCATTTTTGGATTCAGCACCCCAAAATTAACAAAGAAGTGCACTTTTCCCACAAGATGCAATTAAAAAACTAAAATTTGTTGTCCAGTGTATCCGAAAAAGTGATACTACGGCACTACGGCCCTAAGACGCGTTAAAATTTAGAAAAACGAGGAATTGCGTAAATATGATTTAATGCATTTAATTTTTGCCTTTTGTACATGATATCATCATAACAATTGTTCAAAATGTCTTCCTCCAACCTGAATAGACCGATTTACACGTCGCACGTGTTTTCGGCGGACTTGACAAAAAAATTGATACTCGTTTTGAATGATTTCAAATGCTGCTGTAATTCGTCCAATTAAGTCTTGCTCTGTTTCTACTGGAGTTTCGTAAACCAAAGACTTTACATGTCCCCACAGGAAGAAATCTAAAGACGTTAAATCGGGTGACCTAGGAGGCCAAGAATCTGCTCCACCTCTAGCAAACTAACGGTGCCCGAACCGCTGAGCCAAATACTCACGTACTTGTACAGCAAAGTGAGCCGGCGCTCCATCATGCTGAAACCACATTTGCTGTCGAACGTTCAACGGAACATTTTCAAGAAGTTCTGGAAGAAATTCCTCCAAGAAACGCCGTTAAATAGGTCCTGTTAATCGTTCCGGTAGAAGTTATGGCCCAATCAAATAATCATCAACAATGCCTGCCCATACGTTGACAGGCCAACGTTGCTGATGTTTTCTAGGAAAAATGTCATGGGGATTTTCTTTGTTCCAAACGTGGGTATTCCTACTACTAGGCTGCAGTCAATCCTTGAACTTTCTGGAAGTGGTAAGGGTAAAGTTGTTGCTCGTGTAGCACCCGCCAGACGGAAGCGTTTCTCGTATAACGTACATATCCTCAGCAATGTGACGTGTGCTACTTGATGGTTCGTCGGCGACTCGCTGAAGGACCTCTTCTTCAAATTCGAGCGTCCTTACGGTTCAAGCAACACCAATATCATGCATGTTGGTTCTAAACATGCCTGTCTCGGAGAGCCTCCGATGAACAGCAATAAACTTTTTGTATCCCGGATGGTGTCGTTCGGAATAACCCTGTATTTCAAAGATGGGATTTCCTTAACAAAAAATCGCACATGAAGCTCGTTAATCTACAAGGAATTGTATTATGTTTCATAACGATCTTTGTGACGGTTCTTCAGTTTGAAACGGGTAACACTCAGGGAATGTTGAACAAGATGCTGGCAAATGCTTGATGGATTGGGAATGTGGCGTGGCACGACCCACACGGCCTCGCTTCCTTATTGAATTCATCTTGAATTAGACCAGATCTCTCGCTAGCGTATTTTTGAGGGATTAAAAGTTATCGTGTTCCGTGTCTCGTTAAACCCTCCATATATACCTTCTCGTATACAACCACCAACCTTAACTTCTCGGCATTCTTTTACTTACGAGGAAATGTCGACCGATGGCTATCGGTGAAAGTATTCAATTCCAAATCTTAAGGTATCTAAAAGATGGTTGCCTGAAATCGGGTAACCAACCCCGATGACAGGAATTATCCTGCGAGAGATTTTTTGACAGTCATTAACCCTACTGAGTGGGCCGTGGCAAATGCTTGTCCGGAAGTTGTTGTATTACTTAATACAACAACTTCTTCCCATGATTGTACTCGCGTTAAGGAGTACCTCAGTACCGCTTACCAGGTGGCGGTACAAGTCCGCCAACGGGCCTTTTTAGGTCTGTTTAACATCATTAACTCTCAAAGAGAAGGTGGTAGAAAAGAACCAGTCGACCGAGGCGGTACCACCCGCTACTTTTTTCAAGGGTTTCTAATTCTGGACGCAATCTCACTGCATTCTAGGAATGTCCGGGTGGAGGGTGAACACGAGGGAACAACTTCAATGATACAATCATTGATTCTGTCTATCACTACCTGCAATTCGATCGTCCCGCCATGCTTTTCTTGATGGAGACAAACATCTCAGAGTCTGCACCGATTGATCATCTTAGCTTACCAAATTACGAGGTGCACTCCTATCTGAGAAAGAACGGGGAAGCTTTTGGCTTTTGTCCGTAGCAGTCTATCCTGTTCCAGAGAAGCTTCTTTGAAATCAGACCGGAAGGATATTTTGTGGCTTCGCCTCAATTCAAAATTTATTTGCTGCCTTTATCGCTCTCCATCGGAGGATAACAGGGATGACCTACTTAAATACCTCGCCATCGAGATCGACTTCCTGAACATCAATAATCACCCCGCTTCAGATGTAATTCTCCTTAGGCGTTGAGCTTTGGTTGTGCTCGAACAAGACCGATGCAGCGGGTCGTACACTTGTAGCGTTCACTCTTACTCAAGGGCTGACCCAGATGGTGACGAGTCCTACTTTTTTCCCCCGAGACTCGTCACATGTCAGTAGCCTTCTGGATCTTTTTCTGACCACGGATCTTGTCCCTTACAGCACTGCTGTCCTATCCCCCTGGGTAACTCAGACCACGGTTTTGAGGAGGTTAAGTTTCGGTCAGAACCCGCTGTGACAGGAGAAACGCGGCCAGG